TATATATGTATATTATTTCTACTTGTATGCATATGCAGACACGTTCGTATACGAGTATAAAACCATGTATGTATGTATGTATGTATGTATGTATGTATGTACGTACGTACGTACGTACGTACGTACGTACGTACGTATGTATGTATGTATGTATGTATGTATGTATGTATGTATGTATGTATGTATGTATGTATGTATGTATGTATGTATGTATGTATGTATGTATGTATGTATGTATGTATGTATGTATGTATGTATGTATGTATGCGTATTACCATGTTATTTCTGCTGTTGTTACGGCTGTACTAGGTCTCCCTCACTTATCCCCCCCCTCCATAAACCCGACCCTCCCGCCACTCTCTCTCTCTCTCTCTTTCTCTCCCTCCCTCTCTCTCTCTCTCTCTCTCTCTCTCACACACACACACACACACACACACACACACACACACACACACACACACACACCCTTCTTCTGTCTCCTCCTTTTGCCTCCAACTGGGATGCCTCTATACATTTCCTCTTTCGTCACACGTTCACACAATTAACTTCCTGTCAGCCTCTCGTAGAGATACAATTGATATCCTTGATGACTAGCATCAATTTCTTTACAATTAGCCTCTTGGCCTTTCACCCACTTAATCACTTCCGTCTAGCCTGTAACCATATGTAACCCTAAGACCCCCTTTGTTATGCCCATTTCCCTGCTAATATACAGCGCTCGTTTAGTTTTTCTCTCAGTTGCTCCTGAGGAAGCCCACAGGGCGAAACGTTGAGCTATTAAACAAATTTAAACATTTTATATTGTTATTTTATTTTTGTCTAAAATTAAAACAAGACTCTCCCTCCCACCCTGCTTACCAAAAAATGATGATGATGATGATGATGATGATGATGATGATGATGATGATGATGATGATGATGATGATGGTATTTATCACGTGTGTCCCAGAAAGAATATCCTTTTATTATCAAAATGACCTGCTGCAAATTCATGAAATGTAAATGTTTTGGCTTTAAAAAGAATCAATTCAATGTGTGGTTTCATGATGTTTTCAAAACGTGTAGGGTATCTAATTTTTAAAATCTAGGGGCAGAAACTCCAACTGTCGTCCTTCCCCAGTATGACCTAGCAAATTTTATAAAGTAGTAGATCTAGTGGAAATTCCTTCCCCAATTTCAAAATGAACAGTTTCAGATTCGAATCATGGTCTTCCATATTCAAAAATATAACATCTAACCGGATGATGCACTCAATAAATAGGTAGAAGAATAAACAGATAATAAAAATTGGAAACAAATAAAATAACAACTATAATATAATAAGAAACCACCCACTGTCTCAAGATCACAATCGAAGAAATCGCCTGAAAACTCAGAAATGAACGCAAGTGTCTATGATGAATAAAACACAGAATAGCAAGACTTCTACACACGCTGATAATCAAATCGAGAATGACAAAGAAAATCCAAAAACTACTTGCTCGAGCCTCTCTTTGAAGGTACGCTACTTTGCTGCACGTTCCAAAACACAAAGAAAACTAAAATTTTACTTCCTATCGTCAGCTGATTACACGCCAATAAATGGTCACGGACATTGCCACGCCCCCGAGGCTCACCTCTCGCTCGCCTCTCACCCACTGACCAAGAGGCCGAGGCAGACATGTTTTTTTTACCAAAATACCTGTTCTCATAATGTTGTCAACAGACTATGCCTAAAACTGCTGACAACTGGAAGGGAATTTTTGCGAGAAACGAAGAAGGACCACAGGCAACAAAAATAGTTAGCCCATTAAGCCGATCGATAGCTGGTGGCTATTTGCCCCTTTAATAGGAAGAATGCGCTTTTTGACCACGTGGTACATTCGTTAGAATTGGGAGTTTAAAAAATATATTTATAAGGCCCCTCGTTTCCCTTTCCATGCAAAAAACCAAAAAACAAGCAAAACCAAAATCTGGCTGTCCCCGGCTGCGTCTAAATTAAATGAATATACAATGTAATTGAGACTGTGCACTGAAACGTTAGCTTTGGTCAAGATGCACTCTGATCCCCATTGTTGAGGAAACCACTGCCCTCTTCCCCATTGGTGTTTGAATTGCAATCACAAAGGAGGCTCTCAGCTGACAGAAACTGCCGGGAATTGACAAAACGTGGGCGGGATTAATAAAACCTGGACCTCCATTGATGCTGAAACATGTGCGATGGGTCGTGACAGGTGTGTTCACAAAAGACCCCAGCCAGTCCGGCTGATTGTTACGCCAGGTAGCCATTACACAACCGGGCGGCGTTTTGCTCCTTGTGTTGTACAATTTTTAGCTGACTAGCAGGTTTTGGTTAAGGCTATAGTGGCGTGGTTATTGTACAATATGAAAGTCTTTCTTTAAAAAAAACAACAACAAAAAAAACATGTATATTAATTTACACATTGTAATCTAACTACAAGCATCCTCCAATCCAGCCCTTCCTAAAGTATGACAAATCTTGTCTGCTGTTGGCATACACAAGATCAACATTGCGTCTACCGGAGCACGTGGGTGGAGTTTGTTCAATTGAAGTTCAAGACGTCACATAGAATAGCATTTGCAGTTTTCAGAATATTAAAGTTAATAAGAGCAGCACTTCGCTAATTTGATAAAATAGTGGGGGAAATTTTTCGATAATTTCAGAATGAAGCGTTTCAGATTTGAATCATGGTCATCCTCAGCATAATTCGGAAAAGTGACATCTAACACGACAATGCAGCCGATAACTAGGTAAAATAATAAACAAATATTAAAAACTGGAAACATAATATAACAATGAAATAACAAGTGACCACCTACTGTCTCAAGATCACAATCGTAGAAATCGCTTGAAAACTCAGAATAGAACGCAAATCTCTATAATGAATGAAACACAGAATAACAAGACGTCTACACTCGCTGATAGTCAAATCGAGAATGACAAAGAAAATCCGGAAACTACTGGCTCGAGCCTCTCTTTGAAGGTACGCCACTTCACTGCATGTGTCAAAACACAAAGAAAACTAAAATTTTACTTCACGTCGTCAGCTGATTATGCGCCAATAGTTGGTCACGGACATCGCAACGCCCCCGAGGCGTACGTCTCGCTCGCCTCTCACCCACTGACCGGGAGGCCGAGGCAGACATGATGTGTTTTTTTTGTTGTTTTTTTTTTTGGGGGGGGGGGAGGTTCTTTTTTGACAAAGGGCGACAAGTGTTGTTATGCAATTAAAAGTTGGGACCACACCAGACCAAAACTCTGCAGGGTTTTTTTTTCTGAGTTATCGTTGGCTGTGACAGGATTAATAAAACATAGACCTTCACTAATGCTGAACCATGTGTGACGGGACGTGACAGGTGTGTTCACAAAAGGCCACAGATGGTCCGGCTGATTGTTACGCCAGGTAGCCATTACACAACCGGGTCGCGTTTTGCTCCTTGTGTTGTACAATTTTTAGCTGACTAGCAGGTTTTGGTTAAGGCTATAGTGGTGTGGTTATTGTACAATATGAAAGTCTTTCTTTAAAAGGAAAACCCCAGGTATATTAATTTACACATTGTAATCGAACTACAAGAACCCTCCACTATAGCCCTTCCTAAAATATGACAAATCTTGTGCGCTGTTGGAATACACAAAATCAACATTGCGTCTATCAGAGCACGTGTGTAGAGTGTTATCAATTTAAGTTCATGACGTCACCAAGCAAAGCACTGGCAGCTTTCAGAATGTTAAAGTTGATAAGAGCAGCATTTCGCTAATTTTATAAAGTAGTGGAGGAAATTTATCACCAATTTTAGAATGAAGCGTTTCATGTTTGAATCATGTTCATCCACAGCATAATTCAGAAAAATGATATCTACCGCGACGATGGAGACGATAAATAAGTAAAGGAATAAACAAAATAAAAACTGGAAACATAATATAACAATTAAATAACAAGTGACCACTTACTGTCTCAAGATCACAATCGTAGAAATCGCTTGAAAACTCAGAATAGAACGCAAATCTCTATAATGAATGAAACACAGAATAACAAGACGTCTACACTCGCTGATAGTCAAATCGAGAATGACAAAGAAAATCCGGAAACTACTGGCTCGAGCCTCTCTTTGAAGGTACGCCACTTCACTGCATGTGTCAAAACACAAAGAAAACGAAAAATTTACTTCCTGTCGTCAGCTGAC